TACCAAGATTCATTAAGACATCTTAATTTTTACTGAAGTTATCGCTTGCACTGACGGACAGATGGAGGGGCGGACAGACAGACAGTCACTCGGATTTCAACTCGTCTCATCATCCTGATCATTTATATACATCTATATATATAACCCTATATCTCATTATATTCTCTTCTCTTAATGTGATACAAATAAGAATGAATAGTGAATCCAACCTTGTAAAGCGTATCGTCCTTAATGTACTTGGTGTAATAAAGATTATTTTTTATTAATAGAGGTGAAGTATACTTTTGCTTAAATCTTCAATCGCAAATACCACAAAATTAGCAATAATTTTTCAGCAATGGGGATTATTACCTCTGTGCAGAAATCGTACCAAAACATTTAATTGTGAATACCTACCATTATATGTTTGGGACTTTCGATTTGCTTTTCCCTTCATTTAAACAAATAATTGATTTCAGGAACCCGATTTCTTTGCCCCAGCATGAGTATTTGTTGATTTCATTCATCCCTTTGCAATGTTCAGATACGAGTACATGTGTATAATTGTATTAATGTTTATACGTATGCAATTACCGCTACAATCACCAGAAGACTTTTACCCTCGCAAATGCTTTGCGACATCCCTTTTCATTTTGTTCACAACTGTTTTGTCACAGATGATCAAACATTGGGGCTAATAATCAAACACACAGTTGTGTACCCTATTAGATAAACAAACTTACAATCGCACAAATAAATATAATGAAATGGACAAGTAGTTAATTTGATGGTCATTTGTTGTTTGTCATAAACGCCAATTGCCTAACAAAATAGTGCCATTGCCGAGAGCGATCTCAATTTTGATATCGGCATTGATAGCCCAACTTTTGTCGTTCATTCGCAATATTGTTTCCGATATTAAAACTGACGGTGACATATGCCACTGTTACCGCTACTTGTTGAGCGCATGGAGAGGCTGTAAATTTTTAGATTCCTGTTGGTTTATGGCTTTGCAAATTAATTACATTACTCTAACATTTGTACTCAGTAAACATATTTATAATAAAATCTTATTAGTATTTGCTTACGTATTTGTGAATGTAAGTGTGTTTATTTATTAAAAAAAATAAATAAAATTAAGTCTTTAAAATAAATTTCTTTTTATTCTGAAGTTTTTTTTAATTAAAAAAATAGTTGAAGTTTTTGTTGTTGAAATTCTTCATTATTTATGCTTGAATAAAATACGGTTTCTACCAAGAATAGTATTAGAATTGGAAAATTTATTATTATAATCACACATTTTTGTAGCGTGCCCCTCTGATGCAAAGATACATACTTATGTATATTCCTATTTATATGGGCACGATTTGCCGAGTACATAAAAAACTCTTGCAAGTCATAGGTATGGAAACATAGTATAATATGCATGGGCTGAACGAAAAGGATACTTTTCGCGGTGGTTTCGCAAACACCCTCAGTTACATATGTATATATACACATACAAATGCTTGAAACGTTTGGCAAAAACAATTTGTTACATTAATATCTTACAAAACCTCAAAATCAGATTTCTTTGCAAGGGGCAGTGAAGGATTTTTGCCCAGCTGGGCGGGGCGAAGTGATATTTGAGCATGAGAAGCAAATTCAGCAACACATATATATATGTACATATGTGCTTAAAGTTGAAAGGAAGGGTACATTTTCGCAAATTATATATAAAGTTAATAGATTACACCACATTGTGGGTTTCTCAGTGGAAAACCCCTTTTCCGATGGCCATTTCGCCTTCCACAAGTGAAATGCTGCTAACAAACATTGGGGGGAAAAAAAACTTTGTTACTTTTATGTCGTTAGTTCTGTACATAAATACTACAAAAAAAAGTGCGTAGAGGATTGAAATAAAGTTACAGTCACTGTTATTTCTATTGGGATATTAATGGAGGCACATGAATGGAATCGCAATCAGCGATATAATATCTTTCACAATACAAAAGATTTCATACAAAAAGTTGATTTTGATCGCTCAATTTGTATGACAGCTATATGATATAGTGGTCCGGTCTGAACAATTTCTTTGAAGATTGTGCCGTTGCCTTGGAAAATAATCAATACCAAATTTCGTAAAAATATCTTTTAAATAAAAAAGTTTCTATACAAGATTTGATCGTTCAATTTGTATGCCAGCTATATATGTATATGCTTTAAAGACCCGATATCGACGGTTCCAACAAATGAGTAGTTTCTTGAGGAGAAAAGAACGTCTGCAAAATTTCAGATCGATATCTCATGTCTAAATCATTACAGCTCGTCACTTAATCATTTATAGATATTTTTTATAGGGTCTCCGATTTTTAATTCAACGAAAACGATGAAAATCGGACAATGTATAACTGACCGGGCAAAAAACGGTTAAATTCGAGATTAATTCCACAGACTTAAAACCTTTGGCCTTGCGATTTAATAATTGTAATCGCAAAATCCAAACTAATGGAGAACTTATTCTGCTTGAATAGTAATGTAATATCAGTTGGAGCGATCGGAATTTGTGGGATAATCACTTTTATCATTTGAATTATCGATTGATGATCGTTGCTTGAATTACAATCAGTTTGGATCATCGAAATAAGGAATATTTTGTAGGTCCGTCCGGTATCATAAAGTTCCATTCCTTCGTCAATAAACTTCATCAACGAATTGTACATGTTCCACATATGATGTTTGCAAACAATATAGAAATTTAAATTGCACGAGCAGAAATAGTCCCATCGGCGAGCGTTGAGCTCTATAGATTGGAATTGTTTTCGAGCACGCATCAATTTATCAGTACGCAGGAAATCGAAAGAGGATTTCTAGTGTTAGTCAAAAGCAAGCGAAGATTTAGCAATGTATCACGTGAATGAACTGCGTGTATTCGTCCTAGGGCATCATTTGAAGAGAAACTATAGCAAAACTATAGCAACTGCATCAACTTTCTTCCGGGCTTGAATCTTCTTCAACGCAGTGTTTTATGTATGACAGAGTGGAATTGGCCCTGCGAACGCATCGGTTTCGCATGACAAAACGGAATAAGCCATTGTTGACGCAGATAGCCATTCTGATTTTTCGCTTCATTTGTTTTCATAAAATATACACAATTATTGTTTTTTCAAGTGTGCTGCCATTCGGGCGACGTTTAAGAATCGGAAAAGAAATTAGCCGTCAAATTAACTCATGTAACACCCAAGTTGAAATTTCGTAATCTCTTCGTTTGCATTCGGAACAGTAATGCCAACAATGTCATAGTATTTGCACCCAAATTTAAGAATTTTTTATTTTTCGACCAACCTTGAACTATAACGAACGAAACAAACAAATTTTCGAAATCTGTCAAGCTGTTTTTGATTTTAAGATATACTAACGCACAACAAGATGTTATACGCTGAATATGGTATATTAAGTTTGCCACGAAATTTGTAACACCCAAAAGAGAACGTCGGAGACCCTATAAATATATATATGGGTCATTCCATCGAAAATTTACATTCAACAATTTTTGATCGTACAAAACATTTGTTTTTGTGTTCTTTGGGGCAAAATATTGGACACGTATTTTCTTATTTCGACTCAATATAAAAAAATTTGGAATTATAAATTTTCAAAATTTCAACTTTTGAAAAAAGTACCTTTAAACATTTGCGTATACGAAGACTTCCAAATAAAAATAACTAGCCGGTCTATTCTTTCTCAGCTTTCCAATGAGATAAATGTTAAATTTTTTCGACAATTTTTATAAACAAAGGGTACATTTTTACAAACAAATAATTTTTTTTTCAATATGGTCCCGTCCGCAATAAATTTTTAATTTTCAACATCCGTGCTTCGAGCACGCGATTGTTCGTACTATAACGTTGCAAACTGAACAATCAAAATCATATCCTATGGAATATTTTGTATTGTGAAGGATAGTACAGCTTCGGTTCAACCGAAGTTAACGCTTTTTCTTGTTTTTATATAGATTTAAGCTATTTATTAATGTCGTTATATTTGAGTAAAATGTTTTGAATATTACATATCCTCCACATCCTATCATATCCTCATCTAAATATAGTCGAAATCGAACTTTACATTTGTATGTGCTCAGATACTATTGCTAATAGAAAGGAACAGTCAATATGAAAGATACTTGTATATTAATGAAATCGCATGCTTCCCTGATAGTAATGTGGTTTATTCAGTACTTTCCCTATATTAAATTAAATGGACAAATTTTCTCAAGCAACCCTTGTTTTATTTCCAAACATAAATAGAATCAGTCTAGACTTTCCTCTAGCTGAATATAATTATTTTTGTCATTATGGTTAACTTCATAACTATATATTGGTGTTAACATAGAATATCTTAGTAAAATTGAGTGAAGTTCTGTCATTCGGTTGTAAAAATTATGGCTAGTGTATATTTTCTCAAAAACTAATAAGATAGTTTTTAGGATTTCTGTTAGTTTGATATATGTAATTATCTCAGACCTGAAGCTAAATCTAGTATCATAGTATACACAAGGACGAATTTTTTAATCATATGCAACATTTTTCTACCCTGAAATATATTATATATATTAAATTTGCCACAAAGTTTGTAACACCCAAAAGGAAATATTGAAGATAGAGTATACATACATATATAAATAAATACATATACTAGTCGCTCAATTTTGAGATATCGATAATTTTGCACACGTTCTTTTCTCCCTAAGAAGCTGCTTATGTGTTGGAATCGCTGATATGGGATCACTATAGCATAACATATAGCTGCTAATCAAATTGAACGATCAAAATCAAGTCTGTTGTTTAATATAAATCTTGTCAGCAACCAAAAATGTATACGCCTATGATCTTTAAAAATAAGTATAAGAGGGAGTATAAAGTTTAGGAGCTTATCCCTTCCTAACAAAATTACAAAAAATTTTACTCAAAATATAGAAATATTTTCACGAAGTTCGAAAGCACTACCTGTTTTAAGTGAAGGGCTTATGTAAGTATACTTACCGCGTTTTGGCAAATCATCGCGCACTATTTGCCCCGTTAAATTCGTTGCTGTCGGCGTGGGTGGCAAGGTCAAGTGGGCTGGTGTTGTATTACTGGGGTACCAAGCCCAGCCTCCTGATTGTCCATTAAACATACGTAATTTCTCGTATACCGATTCGTTTTGTTGTTGTGCTTGCTGCTCTTTTTGTGAAGCCAAATTTCGTAGAACCCGATTTATTGAAGAAACCTTTAAATAATATATAACAATTAGTTTAGAACAAAATTATAAATAATTTTTATGTATTAATAGGCTAATAAAATATTAAAATTTTCTTTAGAACTATTGTACGTGCATAGAAAACTCTCTAGCCGTTGGTGCAACTCAGAAAAAAAATCGTTTGAACATTCACTGCATAATTTGCGCATGAAACAAGAAACCTCTGAAAGTATGATGCAGTCTGCGAACGATTGATGGGTATGCAAAATACGTTCTCTTATCTAATACACTCTTCTGCTGCAACAGTTAGCTACAAACTGGATAGAAACATAGATGTTCAAAAGGTTGGTCCAACAAAATCATATTTTAACCTATTGGCCTTTTATACATTAATATGCGTTGTTGTTGTGGCGAGAAAACATCCCTGAAGTAATTTGAAGCCCGGGTCCGTTCCAGTTACGTAGGCTCGACTGTCGTTAGAATAGAGTCTACTGTTACGGTTTGAGATTGATCAATTAGTTTCTGAGTTTTTCTAGTGGGTGATAGCTAAGGAAATATTTTGCCCTTTAATGTGGACATTGCTACCAAATTCAGCCTTTCAACATCTCTTTTTCATTTGCACATACTTTTTTTTATCAAGAAGTTTAATTATGGCAGCCACATAATTAACGCATCAAAGCGACATAATTTCACTTCTGCGTATAAACACTTTAATACACGTAGTCATACGTATGAAACGATAGAACGACGTTCGTCTGTTTGATTTAATATGTCGAACATTTAATTAACAAGGGAAGTGACACTTTTGGCCACTAAGTATACATATATATGAGCGCGCTTGCTTTGAGGTTGATGTACAGTGCGAGTGAAGTCACGTGGCGCACGGATGCGAGTTCTACAGAGCACCATGTCAAGAAAAAATATATCAATGGAATGGCGAAGGTGGTAAGTCAGATCAAATAAACTGCGGCGTGAGCCGCATGTTGCCACTCAAGCAAAGTTTGATTACTCAAAGCGGCTCTAATTTGTCTTAATTGCATATACCGTTATATGCAATAGAAAAAGCTAAAGCTGATCCACGGGTACTATTCGAAGTTATGCTTAACATACATATACTTGTTCCTACATATATTACATAAGCGCATACCATGTTATTATAGCTCAGATATTTGTACAATAATAAAAATACTCTAAGCCTCTCTCTAAGTAATGAAAAACAATAAGCTATAGCACGTGTTTAACTTTGTTGATTTAGGCGTCACTATGGACTCTTAGCTTCCTTTTAGTCTTCATATTGATACCATGGTTTTGAAAGCAAAAGGTGTTCTTAGTTTTGATAAACGCTGGTCTTATAGAAATCCGTATGTTACTTAAATTCTTTTTACAAATCTGGTTTGACCTATATTGAAATATGGCTCTGTGGTATGGAATCCTAGTTAAATCCATTCTGACAAGTCAAAGTCTGGTATATTTTTGTTTTTAGCCTTAGGGCTTTACTGACAGTATTCTAGGTTAAGTCTTTAAGCCTTCCTCCACCCACTAGTCTTTAAAAAGTTTTAAATCTACCTACACTTACTAATCGTAGGGAATTGTTTGGCATAATATTCTTAGTGAAAATCCTGAATGGAACAGTTTGCAGATCTTTTCTCTTGTTTGAAGTTAAGTTTATATCCCATTCTTGCTTTTCGAGGCAGTTTAGGTCTTCACTGTTAAAATCTCGTAGATACATTTTTAAACTAAATAAACCTCTCCGGCGCATATGTAATGACTTTAATTCTCATTCCTGCACATTTGATTTATCTGAATCATTTTTCAAAATTAAAAAAAACTATATCCCTTTCTCTTAAAGAGTTAGGTCTTATTAAATACAACACAATTTTTGAAATATTCTCCCCAAATTTCAAATTGATCCAAATAAAATTCTAAGAGATAGACTCTTCGAAAGTTTTACCCATCAGACCACGTCAGTGCAGCGCATCTTCGAAATAATACTATCTAGTCATTGCACGAAGGATCTTTTTTCATTTGTTCAAAGTCTGTCAAAAATTCAAATTGTCAAATATTTTTTGTTTTTTGTTTTTAGATGAACCTATAATGAGTTATGATAAGAACATATTTTTGAGGCGCTAACGGAGACAATGTACCAACGGCTACGTTTTCGGAATTTTTAAATAAAATTTTTACAAAATACTGTTTAAATATCTATTTTTGATATGCTGAATGGTTTAAAATAAATATATGATTGTGTATAATAAAAAATAGAAAAATACCTTTTAATTTACAAATTTATTATAACGTTAAACCTTAACTGTTGGAATTTTTATTTCTGTAGCTGAGAAATTTTAAATTGCGACGCTTAAAAAGTCTCTTGCCTTTCATGAGTCGGCTAAATCCGCACGGTTGCGGATCCCCTCACGTCGTAAAACGCTTAAAATGACTTCACTCTGCTACAACTTTTAAAATCTACTATCTTTTTTTAACATATTTTATGCATTGTCGAATGTACACAGCTTTTTAAATAAATCTTTGCTGATGATTAATAAAATGTTGTACTTCGCTAAGAGTCCTGTAATATTATAACTATTATTTCCATTCTTTGTAACTAGCGTGCCATCGAACTCACTTGCTTCGCTGAGTTCATTGCGGGTAGCTGGGCGCGAAAACTCATTCTATCAATTGTTTGAGTACAGAATCGAATTTTGGACTTGCACGTGTTTTGTCAGCATTATTTAGAAATTTATGACACTTAATTTTTTATTATTCTTGACTTTTTTTCATAAAGTTCCATTTTTCTCATAAAATTGATTGTTTTGAGATGAAACCGATATCAAAGGAAGCAACAAGCCTGATAGAGAATCTCTTGCGAAAAGGATATTCCCACCATGAGGTAGCACGCAGGGTTCATTGCTCTACCTCCACCATTAGCATTACATGTAAAAAAATAAAAAATTTACTAAAGAAACGGCCGCCAGGACGAAAATGTCTTCTGTCTCAGTCACTGAAAAGCAAAATAATTAGGCATATCAGGACAGATGCATGTGATAATGCGGTAGAAATCAATAAGCAGCTTCGGAAAAATAATCAGCTTAACGTTTGTAATGAAACAATTTGCAACGTATCACGCGAAAATGGCTTAAAGGATCGTTCCAAGGTGAAGAAACCTCTTTTATTAAAATTCCATAAAAAATTAAGGCTCAGTTTCGCAAAAAAGCATAAAAATTTTACAATCGAGGATTGGAAGAAAGTGATCTGATCTGACGAGATCAAAATAAATCGATTTGCATCAGATGGGAAGCAGTAGGTGTGGCGCCGGAAAGGTTAACCTCCCCTTTTGTTAATAAAAAATGTTTCGATTTGATTTTGGTTTTGTTTTGGCAGGTAGGTAACGTAATTGCTTACATTATGTTTACGTGAACTGAGTTTTTTAGTCATTTTTCCATTTTCGTGTGTGCAATAAGATGGAAGGACTGATGGATAGACTTTATATGCAAATCACCTTTAGGTAAAGCTGGAATACATGTTTTTATTTATCTAACTTTTTCTAAAGATTACTGCCCTAAAATCGCTCGGAATTTCGATTTGTTCAAAATTAACGGAAACGAAAAGAATTGATGTGCTTAATTGAAATTTTTTTTTCTATTTTTTTTATAAACTTAATTATTTACAGTTTATCAGTAAGATATCAAGTAATTTAAGTGAACATATTAATATTATAACAGAAATATTGGAACTCCAGTGAGAACAGCTATTGGATTCTAAATTTTATAACTCAGATTTTATTTACAATGTGTAATATTCGAAAAAGAAAAATGCACCACGCAATGTGCGAAATGCTATAAATGGACACAACGAATATTCCTAAATGAATAATCGTTGCGCATACCTAAGTATTTATATTTATGTTTTCAATTTCTATGATATGACAAAATTTATAATTATGAAAAGTCTTCTGAATTAAAACGCTGTATAACCGATAAAAACCCCAGAATTCATAATAAAATAAACATTTAATAGGCAATTTTTCCAACTTATGTATGTGCGTTGCGTCAGAAATTGCTTATTGAGCAAAGGATAACAATAAAACGGTGGTTAAGCGGCCGCGTTTCCACTTTTGTGGTGGCTTAGGTCGTAAGCGTGAAGGAGTTAAGATCAATCCGAATACGAGCCTATACATTCGAATCCAAAAATTCATGAAACTTAAATTATATTTAATTTTTCATTTTATTAATTGGAATTAAGCATATCTCAATTTAATTACTTGAATAGCATATATTTCTTCCTGAGATAATTAAAATATTTCAAGGAAATATGTTCATATGTTTAGGTTTATTGAATATTCCCTTTTTATGCGTATTTTCACAAATGTGATAATCACACAACATTCATAAGTACACGTACACTGATGCTTGCTTCTTCTTGCCCCGAGTTAATATCGTTTACACGATATGAGTCGAAAGAAATATACTTTTGAGCTGCACCGGAATGTGTACTCTTTATTGATATTCTTAAGACTAACTTGTTACATAGATCTTACTGCTATTTATACTAACTAGTGTTACTTATTACTAGTTGATAGTTTCTTTACATATAACATATTGTTTGTTTAAGAAGAGATCGCTAAGAGTCCCTGTAATATTATAACTATTATTTCCATTCTTTGTAACTAGCGTGCCATCGAACTCACTTGCTTCGCTGAGTTCATTGCGGGTAGCTGGGCGCAAAACTCATTCTATCAATTGTTTGTACAGAATCGAATTTTGGACTTGCACGTGTTTGTCAGCATTATTTAGAAATTTATGACACTTAATTTTTATTATTCTTGACTTTTTTCATAAAGTTCCATTTTTCTCATAAAATTGATTGTTTTGAGATGAAACCGATATCAAAGGAAGCAACAAGCCTGATAGAGAATCTCTTGCGAAAAGGATATTCCACCATGAGGTAGCACGCAGGGTTCATTGCTCTACCTCCACCATTAGCATTACATGTAAAAAATAAAAATTTACTAAAGAAACGGCCGCCAGGACGAA